AGAGCTTTGTAATGTTGTGAACAACCAATAAAAAAAATAATAGACAAAAAAAAAAAAAAACATCTATTGGATGAGTCTCCTTACTTGGCCCTTTCTTCTCAAGGTCATGAGCATGGTATCAGGGTTTGGCCCCCTCATCACTGCTGGAATCTTTTCGGCTACACTCTCCTCTGCCCTGGCCTCCCTCGTCAGTGCACCCAAAGTGTTCCAGGTAATACAGGCACGAAGGAGCTGTGCTTCTCCCTACTGCTACTTCCACTGAATGTGGATTGAGCTGAAATATTCGTTCTCGGTGGCAATCATTTTCCATCATTTTCTGAAACAGTTAATGTTTGCATCTGGCTCAAGTGCTATGTCTGCCACATAGTCAAGATCGATTCAAATAATATAAAGAATGACAAACTGCAGTGTTAACTTGTGCCTCATATTGTGTATCACTTAATCTTTCCCCAAATCTTCTTGTTTAAATCACCTAGAGAAAATGACTGTGCATAGATATAAGTGACAAATTTCTCCTCTTTTTTTTTTCCCATTAGGCTCTGTGCAAGGACAACATCTTCAAAGGCCTGCAGTTCTTTGCAAAGGGATATGGGAAAAACAATGAGCCCTTGAGAGGATATTTTCTCACTTTTCTGATAGCCATGGCGTTTATTCTTATTGGTTTGTAGTTTTCTTGTTCTTACTGAAAGCCAAAGAATTCTTCTGATTACTCAGAATTTACCCTTCAGTTTGAGAAATTACCTACTTCATGATTAAATTAAGATTCCATTTGGGAATGTTGGAGTCTAAGAAATAAATGAGAAATCCTTGTGTGTAGAAGCCCTTTGGGAAACTGGAGCTGGACTCTGGGCTTTATCTGTTCTTTGAAAGTGAATGTTGGAAACCCATCCAACCAAACACAACTGAATCCTTCCTCCAAACTGCCTGATATTATTGAACCTCAGTGTTTCCTGCAGCTGCCATATCTCCCACCCTGACTGCAGAACTGAATTGTCTGTGTCAGTGTTTCTAAAAATAAGGTTCATTGGCCAACTACTCAGAATCACCAGGGTGTTTGTGAACATGCAGATTTTTCAGGCCCAACTCTAGAGTTAATGAGTCAGAGTCTCTGAGGATAAGGAATCTGCATTTTTACAAGCTCCTCAAAAGACTCATAGACCATTAATATTTGAGAACCACTTAACTGGATTATACTCATGGCTTCCTCTCCTCAAGTAATAAAGAAGCAGCTCTGTGAGCTTGGAAAGATGCATCCCTCAGCTGTAGCCTGCACATGCCTCACTCCTCCCCCATCCCCAAAGCCCCACCTTTGCTGCTGAGCACACTGGAGGATAGAAGGCAAAATGCAAAGTTCAGATGGGAACCACACTTAGGCAGCTGTACCTTCCTCAGCATCGTGATGCTGAACTATGGTTGCTCCTCATCATAATGCATGAAACTCTGGGAGCTATAGTTCATGAATTCACCTAAGATCTCTATGAGGTTGAGGAGGGGAATATATAACTCTCAGTTAGATTTTTTAAAAAATTAAATTAAAATGATTACATATCTCTAAAGATGTTCCAATTATGTAATTTAACCTTTAAAGCCTCAAATGATTGCCCCGTGCTGAATTTAAATGATTCTACAGTCAAAGTTTAAACATTTGTGTATAAATTAAATGCTATCCTTTAAAATCACTCTTTCAGAAAAACATGGATTAGCTCCATATGCAGATTTTATGGTAGCATTTTTTGCATATTTCCCAACTGGTTTCTGTGTTCTAGAATCATACCCAGTTGACACCTACACTCGAATCATTGAGGATTATAGATGTCTGAATCTCAGATTAATGAGGAAGTCTGTATTTTTTTCTTGATCATACAGTAAACAATCTGGTTAGCATTAAATCATACCATATATTTAGCCACTGAGGTCAAAGTATTTTAGAGATGCAGAAAAGTATGAAAGAGCCAAAAGAGTCCAGAAAGTCATAGAAAAAATACTGGAATATGCAGAAAGATTTTCAGTTGGTAGTTTCTGGTACACTGGTATTTAACTAATCTGTCACTTGGTAGAGCTTTTTGGTTATTTACATAGCAGACAAAAATCATGATATTGGTTGGTACCTCCAATATAGAGTATGCTCCATCCCCAAAACTTCTAGGTACAACTCTTACTTGCCTATTTTCTGATTGGTAGGTTTTTCTTGATCTCACTTTATAGAAACCTGGGCTAATAGTATATATGTTATCCCAAAGAAAAAATCACTAAATTTTTAAACTTTGACAGATGCTAGCTATATTTTCAATTTCCAAATAAAGTCAGGCTTCCAGGCTATAACAGCTGTTCAGCCCCCAATCTCATCACTCAGACGTACATGTTTGATTTTGCTTCTTTTACAGCGGAACTGAACACCATTGCTCCCATCATCTCCAACTTTTTCCTGGCCTCATATGCACTTATTAACTTCTCCTGCTTCCATGCTTCTTATGCTAAATCTCCAGGTAAGATGACATTTCAAAACTGAAGTCAGCCTAAGCAAACAGTTAGTTTGTCTCAATAAAATGAAATAAGTCGGTGAAAAGTGCTCAATCTGTGTTTATATGTTTTCGTATATCCTAGTGGGCAGTGTAATCCACTTTATTTTGGTGAGTTGGGGGATGGCTTCTAAAATAGAAAAAGAATCATTTGAGCAATGGCCTTTTTGACCAACCGTAAAGTCAATTTTCTCCTGTGGCAATAAATTATTCATTGCAAGAGAAACCACATTTATTTCAGCAGTAGAAAAACACCACTATTTATTTCCAGGGTGAAAGTGACCACAGAAGTGGAATAAATGTATATATTTGAGACTTCCTTACTATCAATTTGTTTCCTGCCCATGGTGCAGAAGAGAAGGATGAGTAGCTCCCATAATTACCTGCTGAGTGCAGGCAATGCAGATTCACGTTGGGCCCCATGATGTTGATGCCAGCGGCGTCTGTGCACTTTTGGGGCTAGGTTTAAAGTCGTTCAGAATTTTACACCAAAGAACTTTCCCCTACGCAGTCATCCCTCATCTCTTTTTGGCTTCAACTGGCCAGTAGAGATCCTCTGCCTTTCCTCCAAAAAAATAAAGTCTTGTCATCATCAACCCTTAAAAA